GCTAATTAGTAATTAGATAGTCAATATCGGCAAAACCAGCTCATTCAAATTATGGGTATCTACCTGTTATAGTCTTTTGTTGAAGGATTTCAATTTATTACCCTTATCATATGTAAAAGTTCTCAAGAAATTAATATCAGGTTCAGTTTTGAATGAAACAAAAATTTAATCTTTAACAGTATTGTTACCATGTAAAATATCTGCTTATTATGCTAATTAGTAATAAGAAAGTCAAATCGGCAAAAGCAGCTTATTCAAATTATATCTATAGTCTTTTGTTGAAGGATTTCAATTTTTTACCCTTAGCATTTGTGAAAGTTTTCAAGATATTTATATTTTCAGATTAGAAATTGTTGGTGGGATATTAGGTAAAAATTAAAAGGTCTAGAAAATAAAATCTTTATTTAAACTAATATACTGAAGACAGTCTACCTTTTCGTTGAATGGTATTTGAGAAAACAATCTCCTATGCATAGTCCAGGTTTTTCGTCACAATCAGCACACTCGTAAATTGTGTTTTTCCTAATTTTATGGATAGAACCTATTCTACACAAATATTTGACATGGGCGTGGGCTGTGTTCAATATGCGTTAGTATTGAAAAACGTGTACTTGGACTAGGTTGGACCATACGTGGGCTGCGCGTGGGATGTGCGTGGGCTGTGCTTAATTTGCGCCGGGCCTTACACTCTTCTCGCCCAGGGGCCGATCAGGCATTTTTTTAAACTATAAAAGGTAGGCCTTGGACAGATAGGTATACATACATCAAGGAAAGACATCAGGTATCAACAAAGGTGGTTATATTTGTATATTCGTTGTTCTGACGAAAGACAGTAAAAAATCGTAAATTTCTTGTCTGTCTAAAGCAAGAAGATGCAGTATATTATATGGGCTTTCAATGTTTAATTTTAAAAGTTTTCTTAAAAGCTCATTAGATTGAGCTCTAAATGTTAAACAATCAAAAAAGATGTGGTGCAGGTCACCGATTTTATTACAGGCTTCACAAAGATCACTCTCAAGTATTTTTATTTTAAATAAATGTGCTGGACAACATCCAAGTCCACTCCAACAGACCAAACTTCATTCTGCTGATAGTATTTATACTTTTTCGACTGTAATCGTACTCATTGTACCAAGGTTTTCTCGTTAATTTGGTTTCAAGTCTGGTGTAGCTTGTTGGATTTGTAAAGCTGTACTCTTGCCATAAATAGGACCATTTCTTCATCAGTCTCTGTTTTGCTATGATTATTTGTTCATCTGTGGTTAATTCGTAATTTATTTGTTCCCCCATTACTATGCTTTCTTTGGCAATTTGATCTCCAATTTCATTGTTTGTTATTCCTGCGTGTGCTTTAACCCAGAAGAATTTTATATATTTATTTTGATCTTGTAAATGTTTAAGTATTGCTTGGATGCTAAAAATAATGTCATTGGTTGTGTTCGAGTTTGATTTTAAAGTTTTAAGAACGGAAAGTGAATCGGAAAAGATTATAGCATTCTGATCCTCTTCCTGATGAACATATTCTAATCCTTTTAAAATTGTTATTGCCTCAGCTGTAAAAATAGATGTGTTTTTGTGTCTTTTAATTTCGTTTTGTTCTTTAAATTTTGGACATTTTTTGGAAATGGATTTATGCTCATAATTTTTACAGTGTATACAATAACTTTCTTGTGGGTTTCTACAGTTATGGTCATCGTTTTTCTCATGCGCTACCTGCAACTAGACAGGGACCCTTCTTGCTGACAGTATCTGAATGAATAAAGGTAGTGCCTCGGAAGTGCCTTTCAGATCGCTGGATAACAGAGGAGAGTCTGGTTTAGCTGGACTCGGCGATGAGAAGGCATTTTAAAGTACCTCGGGAACTAATCCTGCGCTAAGGTCAGTCAGGTGGGGTCCTGGACTGAGAGGTCTTGAAGATTCCAGGCTCCTCTCGATAAAGAAGAAAAAAGGCTGAAGAAACAAGGCGTAAGACACATTATAGATATGACAAGCCCCTAAAAGGCTAACGGTCGTTGTCCTTCAGTGAAAGGACCATACCATAAATAAACAACCAACAGAAATTATTAACTTCAGCTGTACAAAAAGGGAGTACATATACAAATTATTAATATTGTTCTGAAGCTATTTTCTTGTGGCATTGTAAATTAATTACTATTTATAACTGGGAATAAGCCACAATTAAAGATAAAAAATACGTTTATTGACGTTTCAATTTCCAATTCGGAAATCGTTCTCAAAATACAAACAGTAAATTAAACAAATTTTGTTTTTTGTTACATAGTGAAAAAATTCTTCTAATAATTTAATTTTATCTGACTCATTTATATTGACAATTCAGACATACATTATGCATTTTAAAGTAGACGACTTTAACATCATATTGCCAATATTGTTGAGTTGCGCTCCTGGGACGACTTTACTTATAAGATAGTTCATTCGATTACATGAAATCAACTTTAACTTGAGAATATCCGTCAGAAAAAATCATAGCATGTAATTCGTCTTTAAAAAGACAAACACATGACATGATGACAGTAAAATTCTCCTGTTAGTGATTCCATAGTAAATTATGAGGGAAAAACCAGGAAAAAAAAAAGAAAAAAAAAACCTAATAATACTATCCCGACATTGTAAGTATTTGTTCGTGAATTTAGTTTACCTTCAATTTTCAGTTTTATTTAGGTGAATCATCAAGGCCATTAAATGTTAGAATAAGTGAACATCAATCTTATATTAAAAATAGAGAATTTGATAGATCTCAAATATGTAAACACGCATGGGATAATGAACATAGGGTTCAATGGAATAATTCAAATATAGTCCTAAAAGAAACGGATGGTAAAAAAAGAAAAATCAAAGAAGCGGCTCTAATTATGCTAAATGAGGCCAATTGTGTCGCAAATTCCTCGGCAGAATGTAGTAGGATCTGTTTACCAATATTGAAAGAGGAAGTTATTAATAAGAAAATACCAGTATTAGTAAGTCAGTAACATATAGAGGATACATCATTTATGTTTTTTAAATAACGTAACATATAAAATCAGAATTTTGATGTTTGTTGAAGGTAAACTAAATTCACGAACAAATACTTACAATGTCGGGATAGTATTATGAGGTTTTTTTTTTCCTGGTTTTTCCCTCATAATTTACTATGGAATCACTAACAGGAGAATTTTACTGTCATCATGTCATGTGTTTGTCTTTTTAAAGACGAATTACATGCTATGATTTTTTCTGACGGATATTCTCAAGTTAAAGTTGATTTCATGTAATCGAATGAACTATTTTATAAGTAAAGTCGTCCCAGGAGCGCAACTCAACAATATTGGCAATATGATTTTAAAGTCGTCTACTTTAAAAAGCATAATGTATGTCTGAATTGTCAATATAAATGAGTCAGATAAAATTAAATTATTAGAAGAATTTTTTCACTATGTAACAAAAAACAAAATTTGATTAATTTACTGTTTGTATTTTGAGAACGATTTCCGAATTGGAAATTGAAACGTCAATAAACGTATTTTTTATCTTTAATTGTGGCTTATTCCCAGTTATAAATAGTAATTAATTTACAAATTATTAGTATAATTTCCGTGTATGTGGACTGTATTATATAGGCTGGTTCAATAAAATTAGGATAAGTAGTAAAAGGTATACAGACAATGGCAAATTAAGTTTATAGAAAGTCTTACCAATATTTTTCTGCTTCACACTCTCGCGGTTGTTTTCGGTCTTCACTCGTGGTTATTCTTCACCCGCGAAATCTGTCCGATGCACCGGTTTCTGAACACGTGTTTCGCAAATATATCACGATATAGAGCACGCTTTGTCTGCACACGATTTAATACAGTATTTTCGATATTTCTCGCGTAACTAAGGCGGGAAAGAGGTAATCACGTTAAAAAAACAGCCAAGATAAATGCTGTTCTTCTTGATAAGCGAAGAGAGAGAGAATGAAAGAGAGAGTACGACTAGCTCTAGCGGTGGCCAGATCAAGAGAGAGGACGTCTGGCTCTAGCCATGGCCAAACTAAAAGAGATGAGAATGGTCTGTCCTTAGCGGCAGACGACCATCGAGAGAGTGTCTTTCTTCTTTGCTATCTTGAAACTGTCTGTATTTCTTAAGAGAGGGGTTGAACTGTAAGTAGGAACGGTTATTAAGGGTTGGACTAGGATAATAATTGTAAAATTGTGATATAAGGATAGTTAATAATACAGCAAAAAATGACATGATTTTTCGCATGTGAGAAAATTGAACATCAGCTTTAGAAAAAAACTTGGAGCTGGACAAAACTAAAAATAATTTTGGCCGAACTACATATCGCTTGTACGTTAATAAAAGTTTGATATTTTTTTATCGTAATAATAATATTTAAGATAACATCATTTGCTATTGGTAACATATAATATACGTTTAAATTAATGTAAATTAAATTTCTTTTCAAAAGTCGATGCTGAATGTGCTTTTGAACATTCCATTTACTTGATGCCGAGAGTCTGCTACCGGAAAAATGACAATGAAATCCTATTTTTAATTATTTTAAAGATGTGGCTTGAGGGGGAGTTTATGTTATGGTATTTTTCTTCTAAAACTAGTAAAAGCCTGAATTAGTTAAGGGAAATATCTTTTCGTTCTAGGAACGTTAGGTCAAATGACTTTATGTAAAATGTTTATTAGGTGAAATGCTCACTAGTTCTAATGGCTTTAGGTCAACAATTGAAGTCATGTCAAATGACTATTGGGTGAAGTGTTTCTAGGCAAACTGCTCCCATGCCATTAAGTCTATTTAAAATTATGTTGACGAATTTTCTTCAAAATGACATACTCTGAACGTGTTTATTGAAACGGAAGACAGTTAAAAAATAAAATTGGCATTACTTAAAAATATGAGTGGGAGTTGCTCTTAAGAATTGTAAAATAAATTAACAATAAAACCCACTTAAGAGGCTCACATATATATTACTGGTATTTATAATCTGTTTAAACGATTACATACTTTTTTATTCTATAAGAACTAACAATGATAAATAAATACTAAAGATAAATGTTAGTGAAGCCATGTTGATGTTACTGGCACAGGTTGTACAAGTTTTGTTAGTTCCAAGTACTTTCGGTACTTCAGTAGCATTTGCTGTTATTTGCGTTGCATTGTTACTAGTATCTTGATTTGCAACTACTGTAGTTCTATTATTAACATTGGCAATAGTTAAAGTTACTCCATTACTGTTAGCTTTCGTGGCTGCATTTGTAGTGTCATCGTTAGATTCAGAATCTGCTTTTGTATCACCTGAATCAGTTACACTAGTTTCGCTATTTACACCAACAGTAACATTAGCAGAATCACTGACTCCAGCACTAAGAATGTCTTCACCGCTAGATGTCTTGGCATATATTTGGCTTTCATCGACTTCTCCACATAGTGCAGGAAATTCCGCATTGCATGCTACACCGTCTGGACATTTGGAACATCCTTCTCCTCTTTCGTATACAGTTTTTCCAATCATATTTCCTATGGGTCCATAATTACAAGCTATGTAATATTTTACTTCATCGTCTTCTGCAGTTGGAAGAGATTTAGACAGAGCACATCCTACGTGGGTTGTTTTCGCCCACACAGATTGAGAAAAGTGACCAATGTCGTGTCTTCCTGAAAATGACAATATATTGTGTTACAATTATATTTAAGTTTCAAAAGCTTAAAAAAACATGCAACTAAATAAATTTTGTTAAAAGTATCATTGCAGTTATCTGCAATATTGTTTTTATATTTTATACTATTGTGAGACAGGTTAGTTTTTCCCTCTTTAATGAATCTAAGTTGAGATAGAAATCATTCTTAAAAGGAGTGGATCTGAAGGTTTGGACATTTGGTTGCCGCACTTACCATATCTCTTGAAGTTCCGAGATTTGAAAAGCTCAACACGATATTGACATAGCTGTCGCGCCTACTATATGTTCCATCATACATAGTTTTGCTATGATTGTCACACGTGCCCTTATTTTTGTTGACATTATCGGGTCGTCTGTTAACGTAAACTTAAGACTTAAGATATCTCCATAAGAAAATTCTAGTGGGGACAGATGAGATCTAGTTGGCCACTATAAAAATTCTCGTCTGTCAATTCATCTATTGTGAAAAACATTTAGCTGTGTGAAACCATGTTGTGGTGCTCCAGCTTACTGGTACCATAGCGAATTGTTCGATAGCTGAGGATTTTGATAATTTGGGTATAGAGCCGTTAGTGTGGGAGTTATTCGCTGTTGTAGTAAATCCAAATTCTTGTCACCATTTAATAAACCGTCAAAAAAAAGGTTTCAAAATGTTATTACCAACTATTTCTGCCATATTTTGACAGTCATTAAGTTCAGGAATCTTTGCCTGTATTGTTTGTGTTAAAAAAAAGTCGCTATGAAGGGCACCTTAGCGTGAAGCGTGTGTTCCTGTTCAATCCTTTTTGTATAGTCACCCAATAGTGTTTTCAATGGGAAAGTTAGGAAATTGAGTGAATGTGGTGCGAATGAACGAACGATTAGGAAATTGTCACATGTAATTTATAGGGTGCCACTTATTCTCTTTTAGAGACTTTAAAACAGATTAATAATCAATGAGTCGTGGGACAATACCCAAGAGATTAAATGTCGCATCGGAAAGGCCAAAAGTGCATTCTTGGCTATGAGCTCTGTGTTCAAAAGCCATGACCTCACCCTGAAAACAAAAATAAGGCTCCTTAAATGTTACGTATACTCAGTGCTTCTGTATGGAGTAGAAACGTGGACATTAAAGGCGGAAACTTTATCAAAACTTCAGGTGTTTGAATTATGGTTATGCAGAAGAATCCTGAAGATACCATGGACAGACAAAGTCACCAATGAAGAAGTACTGCGGAGAATGAACACAACCGCGGATTTGGTCAACATTGTGAAGAGCCGTAAGCTAGAGTACTTGGGACATATTATGAGAAATCAAGGCAGATACGAGCTACTCCAATGCATTTTGCAGGGTAAAATTAAAGGAAAAAGAGCCCCAGGACTAGGAAGAAGAATATCCTGGCTTGCTAACCTGACAGCATGGTATAGAAAGACCTCAACACAGCTATTTCGTATAGCAACCAACAAAATCATCATAGCCAGAATGATCGCCAACGTTCGGAACGGACAGGCAACCTAAGAAGAAGAAGAAAACAGATGTTCGATGTATTGATTGCTCCAATGCAACTTGACGGGTAGGTTTATGAGGATTTTCTTGCACTGATAATATTACATCCAATTGTAGATCTTGCGTAAAGCCTGGACGACCTTTCGTATATTTATTATCGATATTGTCAAAATTTACAAATTTTGATATTGTTCTGAAGCTATTTTCTTGTGGCATTGTAAATTAATTACTATTTAACTGGAATAAGCCACAATTAAAGATAAAAATACGTTTATTGACGTTTCAATTTCCACTTCGGAAATTGTTCTCAACATACAAACCTTTTTTTTTTACAAACCATCAAAAATTTTGCTTTAACTTTGCTCACTGTCGATTTTATAATAGATATATCGTAGTGTTTATTGTTACAAACCTCAGCTTGTGTACCGGTCCTATCTCCATAACCTACTACCATTTAAGTCTCTGTGTGTTGCTTTTCGCTTTAACGGGAGATGATGTCAATAACGTGTTTAAAGACAGGCAGTGATAGAACGAAAATTAGAAAAATGCGTGTTTCGGTATTTCTGAATGAATTCCAAGAAATGTTAAACATAAGAAAAAATATGACATTCTTAGACAAAAAGATGTGCTCTTTTCGATAATAGTATCAAAACAGACGTTACCATTACAAAAAATTATATGTCGTTATAACTGGAACAATGATGACATCATCAAAATATTAGTTCAGCAAAACATTTGCCGCTGAAAAATAAAATCGACATGTCGGATCCAAAAGATAAAGTAAGGGTTTAACGATTTTATTTCAATCTTTACGTCTCACTGTATATTATACATTTAACATTTCTTATAGTCTTTACATACATTTCTTAACCACTTTCTTCCATTGTTTGCTTGCAATGCTTTTTCTTTTAAATTTTCAATATAATGTTGTGAGTCTGTCTTATGCGCTGTCCTTCTTTCTTTTTTTGGTCTACCTTTTCTTATTTTTTGTATTGGCTTTCCTGAAATTACCATTTTCGACATTCTTTCTTTTCCCATACTTTAAATTTGTTCCAAAATTTGTGAACTCACCAAGTCATTGGTGTTACCAAGTTACTCGTCTTCGTCTAGGACATACCCGACTTATCCACGGGCACATAATTGGTTACCCTAATCCCACTTTATGTGAAAACTGTATTATCCCACTAAGTGCTAAGCATGTACTTGTAGAGTGCTTAAGATACCAGTTGCAGAGACAGAACAACTACAACATCGAACCAACAAGTGAAATCTTAAAGTAAAGTAAAATTCCTTAAAGATATCAATGTATTTAACAAAAGTTAACATTTGTAAATAAATTATCTTATGTATATATGTCGCTAATAACCTCAGATATTGATGTGACTATTTTGTAAAATAAAAAACATTGTTCCAAATATCATATTTTCTAAGCTTTAATTACCATTGTAATGATTGTTTTGTTATGTTGTTTTTTAAGTTCTTTTTTGTTTTTTTTTCTCTATTAACCATTTATTTTCACTCTTCTTCTTTTTGTACCCTGTCCGGTTATCGAACACTGTCGATCATATTGCCAATAATATTTTGTTTATTGTCTGTGCGTTGTAGACATTATGGTCTGCTATTTGTCTAATGATATTTAATTATATCTCGAAATTGTTTTTTGACATGGGATATCATGAATAATTGAAAATTGAACATCATTAGACAAATAGAAGAAAATAATGGCTACAGCGAACAGAGAGTACACAAAATTTACAACTAAAAGCTGCATGAGAAAGCTCTGGAATAACCAAACACATAAAAAAGAAAGGAATAACGCCACTTTCAGAACAAACAACAACTTAAGCAAATGTATTTAGAACAACAAGAGCCAAAAGAAAAAACACAGTGGAGTATACAAACTTACATGTGGCCACTTCCCAAAAACTTACATCGGTCAAACGGGTAGAACCTTCAACAAACGCATGGCAGAACACAAAAGGGCTATAATAGAAAAACAGATTCTACTTATGCACTTCACCTTCTAGATCATAATCATTCTTTTAATAACCAAAATAAAGGCCTTAACTCTGGTGAAACAGCTGTACTTATAATTATTTATAATAAAAATTTGTGGAAGTGTTCTTAACAAAAGTTTTCAGTATATTCAGCTTGATAAAATGAACTTCCAGCAAAGTAACGGTCGAACTCATTGCATATTTCAGTTGTTGTTCGATCAACCCAACTTATCCACAATATTCGTCGGTAAATCAACATTTTAAGACCTCCATTTATTGCTCTTTGTATTTTTTCTCCTATCTTTCTAAAAGATCTATTTCTGATTTTGCAACCACCCGTGTTTCGCATGCCTATGTAGCCGTCGGCCCTATAAAGGTTATATATATTCTGATTTTTGTTTTTCTTTATACATATTTGAATTTCAATAATGATCGAAAGGCTCCATACTTTTTGTTTCCCTTTGCTATTCTTGCTTTTATCTCTCCTTCCTTACGTATCTTTTCATCTAATTTTGCACCCAAATAAGTCAATTCTAAAAATTTTTGAGCCAGGATGTGTTCTTCATCTTCTATCTCCAATGTGGAATATCTCTGAAACATAAGATTGGAACCATCGACATCAGATAGTAGAACGAAGATTAGGAATATCGTGTAAAAAATTACAAAAATAAAATGGCGCTGGGTCAGTCACATAGCGAGATATGATGGTAACAGATGGACACAGAAAATCTCAGAATGGAGACCAAGGTGAATAACAATAAACATGAGAAGACCCCAAAAGAGATGGTTAGATGATATTAGGGCAGTGGCAGATAAACAGTGGATTAGATTGGTGTAAGATAGAGAAAAATGGAAGCAATTGGAAGAGACCTACATTCAGAAGTGGATAGAAAATGGTGAACGAAGAAAGAAGAAGACAAAGATCTTCAATGTGAAATTGTCCTCTTTTATATTTCTCCCACTATCATATATTGTTTCCTTATTTACTACAAGCCCAAATTGTTTTGACCCTTTTATCCTATTGTTCATTAATCTTTTCAGTTCATGTTTATCGTTAATAGTGCTAGATCGTCTGCGAATGTCATATTTGTTTGGCTTTTTCTGACTATTCCTTTCATTATTAACTTAAAAAGAGTCGTTGATAGTGGATATCCTTGTCGTAAATCTTCGTTTTTTTTAATTGTTTGATTTATGACACATCCATGCTATTTCGTTTCCTGTGTTATCCACAGTCATTTGTATCACTTTGACGATTTTATTTGTTAGACTCAACTCTTTAACCTATCGTAGGTCTGCTTTTAGTCGACGAACAAGACAAATACTGCTGTTTTATGGGTTTCTGGGTTTCTTTTAGTGCAAATATTTGGTCTGTCGTCGACCTATTGTTTTTAAATTCTTCCTGATATCCCAATATCTTTTCTGTAAATTGATTTAGCTTTTTCGATATGATTTGTGAAACGATTTTTTAAACTGCTTCTAGCAACGCGATGCCTTTATAGTTTTTACAACAAATTTTGTCACTTGTTTTGGGCATATACTTATTACTAACCACTCTCTCGCCATTTTTTTCTGTTTCCCATCTGCTCTTTACCACTTTATCTTAGCCTTTTATCTCCTGCTTTTACAATTTCCGCGGATATTTCTGTTATTCCTGGACTTTTATTGATTTTAGTCCTTTTGTTTCATTTTATATTTCTTCCTTTGTAGGTATTTCTACTACTATGTGATTCAAATTCAATTTCATGGATTGTTTCACTTTCTTTTTTTTTGTTGTTGCGGAGTTCTTAATATGAAGTAGATAAAAAGATTTTATTTAAAAATCAGTTTAGTAGTAAACAACAATACATAAAATTTTTATTTTATAAACATCACAATAACAGATATGTAACGTAATAACAAATATATAGGTAACAAATATTAAGTTTAACAATATGTTTGTGCATTCCAAAATAATACTTCTAACGTTTTTATAAAAATTGTTAAAATAAATAGCAAATAATAAAACATCCGAAACTATACTGAAGTTTTGTCGTAAGACTGGTCAACAAAAATAACACTTAACACTAACAAATGACTAAAAATACCGAACTATATTTTTAATTGTAATGCTATACAAAATTGGCGGAGTACTCTTTGAGAAAGCTATAACTCTTGACTCTACAGCAGGGGTCCTCAAACGGTCGATCGCGATCGACTGGTCGATCGCGAGTGCTTTTTGGATAGATCTCGAGAAGAAAAAAAATTTAATAAGTAGGTAGGTAACTAAACTACTGTCAGCAGAGTTAAACGTTTTTATTAATACTGAACTATACAAATACATAGAATGCTTGACTAAGCATCATTGCAATTCAAAGAAGTGGGGACAAACAAAATACTATCCACACAGCATATTTTATATTTACATATATTAACTAATTATTTTATTAATTCAATATTTATTATAATTATTAATCAAATTTGGGATGATATTCTATCAACTACAAAAATGTATTACGTAATAAAATAACACTGCTTGCGGCAAAAGGTGGCTTTATCAAAGAAACGCGCGGCACTTGTCAAAGAAAAGCCGTGTTGTTTCTAGACGAGAGACAGTACAGTCTAGTTTCGGGCGGCGCGCTTGACGGAAACATTAGAGACTTTCGTTAACGCCGATATAAATGTTGAGCCTGCAGGAATTGGAGTTATTCTAAATTGTATCTTGATAGCGATCCTACGTCGATACAAAGTTTATTATTAAATAGTGGAAAATGAGTGCAGTGAAGAAATCTAAAACATTAAAACTCATTTTAATAAGGATTGAGAGGAAGCATTTTTCTTTTCTATGGTGAAGGATAAGTGCATTTGTGTTATTTGTCGTGCGTCAGTTGCAATACCTAAGCGTGGTAACTTAGAAAGGCATCATAAAACGGTTCATAAAAACTATGAAAAGGATTTTCCGCCACAGAGTGAATTAAGAAAACGAAAAGTAAGTGATTGGATATCTTTGTTTGAAAAAAGAACAATCCATGTTCACAAGACCAGCCAAACAATCAAAAGCTGCTACGATCGCGTCATTTAAAATATCTCATGTTTTGGCGAAACACAAGAAACCATTTGAAGATGGATCGGTGGTGAAGGAAGCATTTATTGAAGCGGTCAGACTTTATTTGGAGATTTTAAAAATAAAACAGAAATCATGTCTGCTATTAAAGAACTTCAGTTATCTCGTCCGACTGTCACAAGGCGTATTGAAGTCATGAGTCAAGACATCGCAGATAAACTAAAACATGATATCATGGAATGTACATACTTTTCTTTACAGTTCGACGAATCCATCGATATCACAGACACTGCCCAGTTGTGTATTTTTATTCGAATGGTATTCAATGACATGTTGGCTAAGGAAGAATTTTTGACAATCATTCCTCTGAAGTGGAAGACCCATGGCAAAGATATATATGACGTTTTCTTAAATTTTGTAAAAAACTACGAGCTACCAATATATAAATTAATGTGCATTACAACCGATGGAGCACCAGCAATAACTAGAAACGGTTTTGTGGCATTGTGTCGAGCTAATGAAGAATTCTCTTAATTTTTTTCATTCCATTGCATTATACATCAACAAGTTTTGTGTTCAAAAGTTTTAAACACGGAGGAAATTATGGGCATTGCAACAAAAATTGTGAATTCCATCCGTGCACGTAGCTTGCAACGTCGGCTCTTTCAGTTGCAGTTGGAAGATAGGAAGTCAGCTGAACTCACTGATTTAGTTCTTCACACGGACGTCAGGTGGTTGAGTCGCGGAAAATTCTAGAAAGGTTTCAAGAATTATTGCCCAAAATAACAGTTTTTCTAGACGAAAAAGGTGATGACACTCAGATTTTGAAAAACGAAAAATGGCTAAATGATTTGGCATTTTTGACTGACATCAAAATGCACTTAAACACCGTTAACTTGGAGCTTTAAGGAGTGATTGAATTGACATTGAGATGATTAGCGCAGTAAACGCATTCAAAAGTAAATTGCAACTTATGATAGATCAACTGAAAAGAAAGGATCTGAAACATTTTCCGTCTTTGAAAGCAAGGATTCCTCAGTTGAATTATGATACGTATGAGGCTGAATTATCAAATATTTTGGGACAATTCGAAATGCGTTTTATGATTGCAGTCAATTGAAAAATATAGCATCATTTATGAGTTATCCTTTTTCATGTAAAAACATTGAGGAATTAGCTACAGAAATAGCAAGTCAGTTTAAGATGAACTCATGTTCTGTTGAAAATGAGTTGGTGCAGATTATATCAGATATACATCTCAAAGCTACAGTATCTGATACAAATATCTGGCGTTTTATATCTGAAGATAAATATCCTAATGTAAGGCAAATCGCCCTTCAACTGACGGCATTTTTTGGGTCAACTTACTTGTGTAAGTCTGCATTTTCTGAAATGAAGATAATTAAGTCAAAATATCGCAATCGACTAACTGACGATCATATGACATCATGCTTGCTATTAGCACTCAGTGGTTACGTACCATCTTATGAAAAGTATGCTGAGGACATGCAGTGCCACGCTTCAACATCCAAAGTCACTCCTTAGTTAAGTTTAACACCATATGTAACTCTTTTGTTTTTGTAACAACAAATAAACTCGCAATTTTGAATAACTATGAGTTTTTCATTGATATTGTAGAGAAGAACCTAACTAAACCTAACCCAAACCTTGACTAAAGTAATGTACCTATATTGTGCAGAAAGCTAATATCTATATATGCTACGGTACGCCCTACCTAGGTAGGTAGGGTGTATCGTGTATGTATGACAATCCTGCATCACACACACTTGCAGTCTCTCAGAGTCGATCGTAAGTAGTCTAAAAATATTGAGGTAGATCGCCAGCAGTTCAAGTTTGAGCACCCCTGGTTTAGTGTATCCTATCGGGAACGAGAGAAGTCACACCCAAACAAACTAGCAGGTGATTTAATAAACTTATCAGAAGAAAGTAAAAGCCTCAAGAGGTTCAAACCATCAGATTTAACTACTAGATTTTAGTTTTAGTTAGGCTGTTAAAATATTTTTTAAGTTAAGACAAATCTTGTTTTTGACTTGTGAAAGGTGAATACTCAATGGAATGTTCCCTACAAGTTATTTTAAAAGTTTTTAACTAAGTTATAAATTAAGTTAGCTGATAGTCATCAGAAACATTTAAAACAGAAACACTGAATAAATTTAAAAAAAAATCATTGCTTGAAATTATTTGTGTAGAATCTTTTCAAAAAGCTGTAGCTCCCCAAAACTATGTTTCGCTAATTTTATGGAACATTATATATTTTTACTTTGCAAAATTCTCGAAATAAGCAGACGAATATTCAATTACTATAATTAGTGTACATAACTTTTAATTGGCTAAGATTACATTAATTATATCAGATTTAATTTAATTAATATTAACTCTTTCAAATAATTGCTTAAAAAATATTTTACTATATTTGCGCACTTTATTAGAAGAAACTTACACTGTTCACTGTAGTGAAGATTCACGGTTTAAATTAATGTAAAATCTTTCCGAATATTCGTCCACGTTTTAGTGTCTATGTGCTTCGTCCGATTTTATACCTTTCTTCGGATTTGTTGTTTTTTTTGTAATTCCGACATACCCATAAATAGTTCTTTAGTGTTGTCAGACTTTTCCACAACCACATGAAGTACAAACATACGTTTTTACTGGTGTGCAGGACGTCTGCACATGAAAAACCAGAAGCCTATCATCAGAAATATGAAACAGAATAAAACATACCACTTTGTAGTACTGCCAGCACGCATAGACCCTCTAGAAATTCTTCTCGTAGGTTTTTTAGGTTTTGTGATATTAGTATTTGGTATTGGCAGCTGTACAGTAGGTAAAACTATTGGTTTTGGTGTTGTTAATTTTGTTGTTGTTACTGGAGTAGTATTAGTTGTGAGAGGGGTAGTATACGTAGTGTTTAAGGGAGTTGTGCTATTCATAATTGTTGTATTTGTCGTAGAAAATGTGGTAGTGGTTTTATCTGGTTTCTTAGTTTTCTTCTTTTCATTGTTGTTATTGTTTTGGGGTCCTTGTACACCAGGAGCGCCAGGAACACCTGGTGGTAAACCACCAAAACCAAATCCTCCAAATCCCACACCTCCTATTAATCCACCCCCGCTCTCATCTTTTTCAGTCGTTTTGGTTTCAACTGCTACATCTGGAGGAAGACCAATGTTTGACAAATCCTTGATTCCAGCAATTGGTACAATACTAGTCGAATTTGTCTCTGTTCCGTCACCTGTTTGGTTACCTCCGCTTCCTCCACGTCCCACTCCTAACATTGATTGATTAATGACTCCACATAATGCAGGATAGAAAGGATTTGGTTTCACGAATAATCCACATTTGCTTGCTGGAGTTCCTCTGTCGAAGACCATTTTCCCGTAATCATTGCCTTTCGGTCCATAGTTGCAGGCTAAGTAATGTTTGCCATCATCCGATTTTGAAGTTGCACAGCCGATGTGAGTTGTTTTGGCCCAAATGATGTGAGTAAATCTTTCTATATCTTCTCGTCCTACACACAAAAATCTAGGATCAGTATATTTATAATTTTCTGAGCATAAATATAACAAAAGAGTCCGTAACCATAGTTTGTGGTTCTTTGGCAGAATATAAGACAGTATAACGAATATATGTTGAAAAAAATATATGACATAAACATATCGATCCTAGTTTTTGTGTGTATTATGTTAATGCTAGCGATACCAAAGAACTTAAACCATAGTTTTTCACTCCAAAAGTTTCCACAAAACGTTTTCACTATGTTGTGAGACGCAGTTCAGGTTCAGAAATGGAATGGGTACTTGAAAAGAACTATTTGCAATCAACACATACTGATTCAGCGATATCATGATGTAAAATTTGAGCTACACTTGTACTTTGTTGATTTCTTAAAAACTTTCGATAGAGTAAGACATGAAAACCTAATATCCATACTTATGAATAAGCATATTGACAGTAAAATCATAAAGATGTTGTGCTGGGAAAGGAATTACTAAAAATGCGAAAAAAATGAAATACAGTAGAATCCCACAATCCGAACTAATTGGGGGACAGATTGTTCGAAAGTTGGCCTAACTAATAATTCAAAGCTTCCGTTGTCGTTGATTTTGAGTCGCTGTACCTGTCTTACTCTCTTTCTCTTCCACCGATCTCAGATCGATGCCACTTATAGATAGGAAGTATCATTGTTTGTGTTACGTCACTAACTCACTGCGCCATATAGTTCATTACGTTTTTATTCACTGTTTGGTGTTGCAGTGTTTAATACTGTAGTTGTGTTCTTTTCATATTGTATCTTACGTTAAATTCTTTTTTCACTGGTACTGATTATTTAGTACCGATACAAATGATACTTTAACTGAAAAGTGTTTCATCATCTTCAACCTCTACATGTCACTTTAGGTCGCTTTAGGTCATCAGTCCACCTAGTTTGTGGGTGGCCTCTGCTCCGTATAGCTTCTTGTCTTGGTCTCCACTTGACAATACGTTTTGTTCATCGGTTGTCTGATAATCTGGCGACGTGTCCTGCCCAATTCTACTTTAACGACGCGATTTTTTTAATGACCTCTGATGTCTTTGTTCTACGACATATTTCTTCGTTTTGGATTCGGTATCTTAGAGAGACACCCAACATCTGGTGCTCCATAACCATCTGAGCCACGCTAATCTTATTAATTATCTTTTTTGTGAGTGTTAATGTTAATGTTTAAGTGAGGGCAGGTAACACACATTGGTCAAAGATTTTCCTTTTGAATTTATTTTACCAAACGCTGCCCAAGCTAATCCTATGCGACGTGGGAGCTCACATGTCTGGTTATTTCTGCCCAATCGAATTTCATGTCCTAAGTACTTATACGATATAGTCTGCACAATATCCCTTCCATCAACAGCAATATTTCGGTTTAGCACCAGATTAGTCATTATTTTCGTCTTGTTTATATTAATTTTTAGTCCGACCTCCAAGGAAGCGTGATATAATTTTTCAACCATTATTATTGGATCATCCATACGGTCGGGTACAAGATCGATGTCATCTGCAAATCTCAAATGACTGAGCTTCTCTCCATTTATTGGAAAAGTATTTATTAAGCGGTAAAAACTGAAAATTGGTCACCGCTAAAAGGAAACATACCTCTTGTACAATAAAAGAAATATTGAAAGTTTTAAACAGAGTGGACAAAGCAGAAAGTGCGCTAAAGATAGCTTTGAAATTGGGAGTAGGTAAAGCCAGTATAAGCGACTAGAAGAAAAACAGAGCAAAAATTGAAAAGTTTTCAAGTACTACAAGTGAGAGAATATTAGAAAAACGACACAATTTGCCTATGCTAGCTTAAGATTTCCTTGACGAAGCAGTTTTCCTGTGGATTACTTAGGAAAGCAAAAGGAAGTTCCCATTAGTGGTCCTTCCATTCAAGGAAAAGCATTGAACCTTAATAGTCTCGTGAATAGCAATCTTTCATTTACGGCAAGTAATTGTTCGTTGAGTCGCTGGAAAACAGGCAGGGGTCAATTTACAATTACAGGAGAAATTTTGTTTTCAGATGTCGGTGCCGAAAACAAATTCGTATTAGAATTTAAAGATATCGTAAAGAATTATTCGGCGCAACAAATTTACGATGCAGATGAAACTGGACTTAATTTCAAATCACTGCCCACCAAAAGTATTGCCTCAAAAGAAGAACTCTTATGCATCTTGCTTTAAAATGAATAAGCAACGTTTGACTGTTATGGCCTGTTGTAGTGCTGCTGCAACCAACCAAATAACGTTAATGGTCATTGGCACATCTAAAAAAGCACTAGCTTTGAAAAACGTTAACATAAACGCTTTGTCTGTTTATTATAGGATCTAAAGAAGGAAAGCATTGATGAATAGTGCACTTTTAATAGTTTGAACCATTGGGCTTCTCAATGTAGTCCTACTTTTTTTAGACATGTGGTACATTATGTGATGAAATAAAAGCTGTTTTCCTGCCATCAAATGTGACCCCATTATTGCAATCTATAGATCAGGGTGCTCTGTAGTTTACCAAACTGTACTATAGTAAACAACGAACGAACAAGTTCTCGAACAACTAGAAAAACAATATGCGAAGTTTTTAAATTCCATAAAGATCAGGAAATTGAAATACTTGGGGCACATCATGAGAGGTGAAAAGTACGAACTACTAAGGAATATAATGCAGGGTAAAATCAAGGTAGAAGAAGCGTAAGAAGACGTAAAATCTCGTGGCTACGCAATCTCCGTGAGTGGTTTGGATGCAGTTCAATTGAACTATTCAGGCGAGTAACCAATAAAATTATAATTGCCAGAATTGATTTCCAATCTTCGATAGGAGTGGAACTTGAAGAAGAAGACTATAGTAAAGATTTGGTGCGGACTGTATTAGAAGTTGAGGAAAGTTCCATTACTTACAATCTGAAAAAAATCACCGTAAAGGTGTCATTTATTGTATGGATGGGGCTTGAAACAACTGTCCTGAGACTTTAATTAGAAAATCATGGAAGAAATTGTGGCCAGATTTACAATTTAAAAAAGCTCTATTTTTCCAAGCTGCATTACAGGATAACCTCCTAGAAGTCGTCCAACAACTTCCAGGATGTGAAAACCAAGAAGGAAGTGCAATTACAAAATGGATTTAAGTTGATGACAATGGGACCAAGAATTTACGGGTAAAGACATTGTAGACTTGGTTCAACCTCAAGGCAACCCTAATGATGATAAAGAAAGCGAGAAGGAAGTTTCCCTAGCAGAACGAGTGTCTTCGTGAGTGATCGACTTCTTTAAGAATGCGCCTTAGGGCTGCAAACGTTCTCGCAAGAGTGTGCACATTATTTTTGGACTCAAGTTGACTAGAAGAGAACCAACGTAAGTTTATGTTTAACCTTTATAAGCACTACGTCTAAAGTTCGTTTTAATTTTTAAGAAATTTTAAATGTTAAAGTCGTATTAATGCTGCATTGTTCCATTTTCTGTTTTTATTCTGTATACTAAACATATATTTAAGTTTTTGTCTTGAATTTTTGTGTTTAATTTTTTTGTTGATTCGGATTTGTCGAACGTTCGGATTAGCGGAGTTCGGATCTGCGGTATTCTACTGCATATGCTAATTATAAAAAGGTAACAAAATATACATCACATATTGAAATAAATTATAACGTGATAGAACAAGTAGGGTAATAGAGATTACCATATCAGTGTTTATGTTTATACGAATGAAGCTACTCCTAATATGCAGAAACCTTAATATGGATATGGATATTTTCAGAGATATTATATGTAGATGAGACTTGGACATTAAAAAAATGTAATTTAAAAGGAATCGATACTTTAAAACTCTGGTTATACCTTAGAGACTATTAAAAATATCATGGACTGATAAAATTACAAATAAAACTAATCACTACTGTACAAACAAGAAAACTGTAGAAAAATATTCGTTAAAGAAGATCTGTTGAAGGCAGAAATCTTGGTTGAAGAATATACGTGAATAATATAAATGCAGATAGATTGATTTGGTTAGAGCAGCAATGCATTTTACAAGGTAAAATTGAAGGAAAAAGGACCCCAGGACGAAGAAGAATATCCTGGCTTGCTAACCTGAGAGCATGGTATAGAAAGACCTCAACACAGCTATTTCGTATAGCAACCAACAAAGTCATCATAGCCAGAACGATCGCCAACGTTCGGAATGGACAGCACCCTAAGAAGAAGAAGAGCAGCAAGATCAAAAATAAAATTAGCCAATTTGATTGCCAACCTCCGTAGAGAAACGGCACTCCCAGAAGAAAATATTTAGAATGTAACAATTCTCAGATACCATTTATATAAAAAATATTTGATTGCTTACCTTTTGGAAAACTATCAATTACATCTGGAGTCATTTGATTAATTTCTTCGTACCACTCATTCACTGCATTTTTCAATGCTTCCTGGGATTCGCTGGTATAATACAGATTTTGACCGGCCAAATGGAACTTTTTGGTTCCTCTGCATTTATCGTGCTCAAACTTACATCTAAAATTAAGAATAAATAAAAAATCTTTCTAATATGAGCATAAACGAATTAATAAAACAACGAAAATAAATTGATCAATATTAAGTTTAATATCTGTTTATTAAAATATGACATTAAATAAAAAGAAAAAGAAACAAAGTAGTGGTACTTTTAAAATATGAAACATTCTGTTTCATTCGCATCTGTCAAAACTTTTTAAGATGCGACTTCCTTCAGATGATCTTTTTTGAGTGTGGCTGTGACTTTCTTGGGATTTAATAATAATAACCTCCTCGCAGTTATGTTTTTTAATGGCTGTGTCTGTTAAGACTGTGAACATAAGACTCACTCAGTCGTTTACAGTGCTGCTTATCTTGTACATTATGAATCCAGTTTTATAGTGACTCTTTTAATATCATCACTTCATCGTGTTGCAAGTCTACTTTGACTTCTTTTTGCATGAAACCTAGGACCACACTATACCATGCGCTTACTTCATCCACCGTCGTTCATTCCTGCTACTGTCCAGCTTAATTCCACTTTATCGATCGTTGGACTTGGACATCATATTGGCTACCATATTCGCTCTACTCAATTTTCCATATCATTATCTTAAATTTTTTAGCCATGATGTTCTTCTTCTACCAGGACAATGTCTACCTTGGATGTTTTCATGGATGATCAGATGCAAAAGTTCATATGTTTTAAGGTCTCATAATGCGACCGAGGTTTTCTATAATACGAGGGTCTGTTTATTATATTGACCACTTGTGCTGTTTGGTTCAGCCGACTAAGAACCTTCTCATTTCTCACTTTTTCGACCCAGCTTATTCTTAGTAATCATTTGTATATACCTTAAATGCAAAAACTAAGGTATCGTAGGCATATTCCTTTTATATTTCCTCTAAATACAAGTTAATACAAAGAAATGTGTACAGAGTATAACAAGCCTATCTTTCTTTATTCGTAGATTATGAAAAGGCGTTCGACACTATAGATCATCATAAAATGCTTCGAGCATTGGCTGACTGCCGCATTGACTACCGATATATTGCCTTGATTAAAAGTATTTACGAAACTGGTACAGTTTGTGTCCACCTTCACGAAGATACCAAGAAGTTTCGAATAGAACGTGGAATTAGACAGGGTGACTATCTCCCCTAAATTGTTTACAGCTGTTCTTGAATATATGGTCAAGCAAATGGAACGAGAGGATAATATGGGAATTAATATAAATGGGGAAGATCTGAACCATCTAAGATTTAAACTTTGAAGGTATACAAGGCAACTATCGAACACGGTGATTAATTTAATCTTGCCCAAGTACTTTCGATCAATAGATCATCTTCAGGGGCATTTCGTCAATTGTGGCCTATCCTGACATGAGTAGAATGTCATAAATGTAAAATTTGGACATAACAATACAAAATACAATACACAAAGACAAACAAACACTTTAAAATTTTAAGGAGAAGCTACATGTTGTATAGAAGCCGGAGACAGAATGGTCTCCCGGTCTGACCGAAATATTGAGATGATATCTAAGATTTGCCGATGACATCGTTTTAATATCTGATAGAGTTGATAAAGCTAAAAAAATGCTGCACACGCTCTATAAAGTGTCAAAAACAATTGGTCTTAAAATTAATACCCCAAAAAACAAAATTTATGACCAACCTTGTAGTCAGCGGTGAAATTCTGATTAGGAGCCATCGCATCGACCAAGCAATAGCTTACAAATATCTAGGGCACGAGATTCGCCTAGGCCGAGATAATCAGACAACTGAAATACAAAGAAGGATAGGTCTCACATGGGCTGCCTTTGGTAGATTAAATAACATTTTCAAGTCTAGTAGCCCAGTTTGTTTAAAAAGAAAGGTTTTTGACCAGTGGGTTTTACCGGTTCTTACATATGGTGCAGAAACACTGACTCTGACAAAAAGAACAATAGATAAAATAAGAGTTACACAACGCGCTATGGAAAGATCAATATTAGGTATTACCATCAGAGATAAAGTACCAAACCTAGAAATAAGAAGAAGAACAGGAGTCACAGCTGCAGTTAAAAAAATAGCCAGGGCTAAATGGACTTGGGCCGGATATGTTGCCAGATTAACGGATGACAGATGGGCCAAAAAGATTCTGGAATGGCGACCAAAGCAAGATGCATATCGAAGCAGAGGACGACCACCGACTAGATGGATGGATGATATCAAATGCATCACCACAAACTGAATGCAAGAAGCTCAAGACGATAGATGATAATAAACAAGGCTTGTCTTGTACCCAAACTGCTTCTAAATTATTTCCTATTCTTTACAGCACCTTAAACTCCTATTTTTTCTATTTGGGACTCTATTTTTTAATGCTAACCCTCACATGGTCGCTTCATGATTAACTAAGTTACTCCAAGTTTTTTCACAGATCTTTCAGTGAGTGTTAAAGTTTCTGCTCCATAATTCAACACCGGAGGTACGCACTGTTCAACAACTTTTATTCTCAGGCATAATCATTAGCATCATCAGCATTATCTTGACGTATCCTAATTTGGTTACCTAAGTGTTCCATCTCTACATCGTTTTCGGTTATGTTACAGCTGGGAGACCATGTTTGTCATACACCATGTTTTTCCCTGGTGGATCCCAGATATGTAAACTTATCTATTTCCTCTATTTTGTCTTCCATTTATTTTAATTTTGGTTTCTTGGCTATTGTTTTTTAAGAATTTGGTTTTTTCTGTATTTATCTTAAGACCCATAACATTGGACTATTTTGCAAGATTGTTGATCTTTTGTTTATCTTTATCTTCTATCATTTCTCTCGGATATCCAGTCTGGTTCTAAATCCCTTGTAGAATAATCTGATCAGGATAAAGTATTTCATCGGCAGTCCACATTGTTTCAGAATCTTCCACATTTGCTGTCGGTTTATACTATCCAAAGAACTTTTTTAAGTCAATAAACATCTTATTTATATTTGTTTTCCATTCGCTAGTTTGTTCCAAGATAATTCTTAGAATGCAAATATAGTCAACAGTGGAGTGTTTAGCGCGAAAGCATGCTTGGTTACTTCTAATTTTCTTGTCTAACTTTGGGTTCAGTCTGTTTAATATCATCTTGAAGATTATTTTGGATGTAGCGCTCAGCACTGTTTTTGCTTGGGAATTCTCGCATATACTTAGATCGCCCTTTTTTCGTATATTAATGATTACATCCTTGTTCCAATCCTTTGGTAACTTCTCATCCGCCCATATGTTGTTAAAGTGTAACATTTCTACTGATTTTTCTTTTGTAATTTTATCTATGCAAACGTTTAACTCTTGTATTTTATTTTCTACGTCTATATCTGGTTTTGCATCGTGTTTCAAGTATATTCCTTCGAAGTATTATTTCCATCTTTGTATAATTTTATGTTCTGTTTTAATTAAATTTCTTTGTTTGTCTTTGATTTCTTTATTACTTTTTACTGTTTTCTCTGTCAAATTTCGTGTGGTCGTGTATTGTGTTCTAAGGTCGTTTTCTGACCTTTTTTTCGCTTCCCGACCATTCTGACGGTTTCCTTCTGACATTTTTACATATCATTTACCTAACTCCTTTTATCTTATATGAGTTTAATTTTAACTGCTATATGTTTTCTTTGTATTCTCTCACTGGCACTTTTCTCTCTTCAGTTGCTTCCTTTTGTAACATTTCTTCTTTGATTTTCATTTTTTTTTTTCTATTAGTTGTAATCTATATCGGGATATCCATTAGGGTGGAGTGAAACATGAAGAATTTTTTTTTTATTTTTTATTCGAAATGTAATAGCGCGGAAAAGTTGCTTACTGCATAGAGGAGTACCATTTTTTTTAATTTTTTTCTACCATTTCATCTTCAGGGTTCTACAGGGTAAAACAAAAAAAAATAATAAAATTTTGTTTAATGTAATAGCGCGGATAAGTTGCTTACTGCATAAAGGAGAACCATGTTTTTTTTTTATTTTTTTCTACTATTTCATCTTCAGGGTTGTACAGGGTGAAACAAAAATAATAATAAATTTTTTTTTCTAATGTAATAGCGCGGAAGCTAAATATATTAATGACTATTAGGCTTTTTACCAACTTTTAGAGTTTCAAAAAGTCTTCTACATTTAAAAAGACAAGAAAATACAAATCCCTTATTTTATAAAAACTTTTAATATAGAAAACAATAAAAATCTCTAATATAGAAAACAAACCGTTTACTAAATAAACAGGTTCTCTTTAAAATAAAGTTCAACCAAATATTATTATCTAGACTATTAAATGGAAATTAAACTGCTACTTGTCTTTAAATTCCTAAATAATGTATGCACTGTATTGCGCCTTAGTGTTAAATCGAGGTAATATGGCTCTTGAATAAATCCTGGCTCAACAAAACCATCTCTGGAGTCATAGTCGAGAACAGAATTGGAAGCTTCTGTTACAACCTTCACACATCTTTCTACTGCTTGAGTATGACAAGAAAATTACAAAAAATTAGTTGGAAAAATTTCTTCACCATTAATACATTTTCTAATATCCTCATCAGTTGTAGTAGATAAAAGGGGAGGAATTGTAACAGAGCAATTTTGCCAATCAATAAGTTCATAATATTCACTAGCATTGAAATTTAAATCAGGAATTAAAAATTATCTTACATTCGTGTCCACAGTAGGTATTTTTGTGCGCATCTTCAACATTCTGCGTAAGGCAAGTTGTCTTATGGAAGGACGATCATCAAAAAGCATTGCTAGGAGAAGGTTCTCCGGATGACAAAAATACGAATTTCTTTTGATAACAGGATCAATGACAGCTTATAACTCGTTCCTCAGGTAGCGTGACAATTGAATCATTTTAAAGACGTGTCTTGCTCCTTCACTACACGATGGCTTAGTTTTAATATTAAATCACACTGGCGCATAAACTTTTACCACAAATTCAGCCAAAGATCTTAAAACCAAAGACAAATTTTCACTTCCGACGTAAACACGCAATATATGATTTGCCTTTGTAACCCATCGTGCATGTGATAATTTACCCGGATTACGAGTTGCTAAATCTATCGAGCACTTTCCACTAGAAACCGAATGACAAATTTCGTATAAGTACTTTTGATCACTGCTAAGGTCCCTTATAACTGCAGCATCTAATTGTGTTAGAGTGGTATGAATAGGAACAAAATGGATTACTGGCAAATTTTCGCAAGACTCAAATAGTTTACCCATTTTGCCAGAGTATTTACGAGGTCCCAAAGTTTCTCCATCGAGAGATTGAAAGATATGCCGGAGGAACAATTCATTCATGTGTAACAGACAAATTGACCACTGCAGAGGACGTTTCAGTTCTGTCTCTAAAAACCGTAAAACCCCATTCTTCCTCCCAATTTTGACTGCTGTACCGTCGCAGCCTACTACTAAAATATTACCTGTGCCAATACCGGATTCTTCAAAAAAATTAGTATAGATGTGGCAATATGTCTTCCTGTACCTGACGTTGGAGTAATGTGATTTAGATATTTAAAACCTGGTTCTTCAAGTAACGAAATGTGTTCTTCGGTTTTTATCTTGCAATGAAGTTTATCTCCAACCTTTTCTTGGCACAGAGTTTTATCCTTTCTGCCTGAACTTGTTTACTCTTAAATTATAAGTCTCATTACGTTTTTGTTTTGGATATCTGATGAGAGTTTGATACTTACTTAGGATATCACGAATTAATCGAATAATACGATTGCTTGATACAGTGGGAACTGAGGCTTTTTCCCAGATGGCTTCGATTTCACTGGTAACTAATTGAGAAATAACTAGAACACTAGGATCCTTGCCGGAATCCATACGTTTTAGTTCATTTCTAATAAGTAGATATCGCTTCATAACATCTTCTATAGCTGGCAAAACATTATAAGGTATATTCGCAGGTGCACCAAATATAGGACAATTAGTAGTGCCCATAGTGTCTTTCACTGGCAAACTCATTACGTACCGATTAATTATTACAATAACGAACTTATGTCTACGGCTATCACAGTGGGACTAAAGATTGAGCTAACTTCGTCTTACTTACTTTGTCGAACCGATCTAGCAACAGGTCAAAAAACGTTTTACAGGAAAAGATTATTTCACGGAAAGCCTTTACTAGTGGCGTATCTTTATTTAATAAAATTAACTGTAAGGCGAATATTGAACATTATTTGATGAGATTTTTGATCTGTTTTATTTCCAAAAATATTGCTTAAAATATTTACTTGGTGACAAATAGAGCTCTAATAACATTATTTTTAACTAAAATAATAGAAAATAATTAACATCAATAAAAGCAGCTTCTTTTATTTATTAAAAGTAAAAAATAAAAGAATCGATTTTTCTTGATTTTTTCTTTTTTTGATGCGCGGTAGAGCTCTGAAGATATTTTTATTTTCTACTGAAATTTTAACAGCAAGTACACTATAGGTAGGGTCAACTTTTCGCAGGTATTACATGTCAAAAAAAAATATCGATTTTTTCGCTCCACCCTAATATCTATTTTCAGTCTTTGTGAGAACTCGGTACTTATTTTTTCTTATTTCGGCACTCAATTTGAGTTCGACATTTTATCTTCTTTTGTTTTATGTCCACGGACTTAGTCAGAATTAACTATTATTTCACATATAAGCGATATATAGGGCTCCACAAAATGTCATGGTCTAATTCCTGAAGACAATTAGTTAAACCATTTTGGATTACAACAGTGTTCTTGTTTTAATATTTATTATGTTAAAGACACATTTTGGTATACCATAGGACACCAATGTGTCTAAAACGTAGAGTTTATGACAAATGTATCTTGCCTGCAACTACATATGGACTAGAGATCATGGCCATTACAAATAATACCCTAGACCAGCTCAGTACAACCCAAAGAGCGATGGAGAGGGGCATGCTAGGGATTAGTTTAAAAGAGATAGGATTCGAAATATCGATATTCAGGAAAGAACAAAGATTACTGATGTCCCAGAACGTATAGCAAGGCTCAAGTGGCAATGGGTCGGACATGATGCCCGAGATAATCCCGAAAAATAGACACAGAGATTAACAAACTGGAGACCAAGAGAAAATAGGCGAGGAGTAGGCAGACCACAGAAGAGGTGCGCAGATGATATCAAACAAGTCGCGGGCAAGCACTGGATGAGAATTGCCAAGAGTAGAAATCAATGGAAGCAAATGGAAGAGGCCTATGTCCAGCAGTGGACGACTACAGGCTGAAGAAGAAGAAAAATGTTAAAGACCATTGACACAATTTTTTTTGGATTGTAGTGTGAGATTTTTTTATTTATAGTAGGGGGGAGAATCTACGAGGTTGTATTGAAAAAAAAAAATAAAAGCTAAGAATTTAGAAAACACGTGTTGGTCTTCTACTAGTTTAATATTAATTATAGATCTTTAGAATTTTCTTGAATATACCCCAAAGTAATATAATGAGAATAAAAAATAGTAAATTTTTACCTGTTTATATGACATCTAGCTGTATATTCCAGATCCTTGTCGTAAGAAATAGCCATCATATTAGCAGCAACTCCAGTGAAACCTCTACTTTCTGCTCCGCTTGCAACGTGATTCCTCAAGCGATTGTGTTCGTGCAGGATGAACTTCAAGAATTCCGGATCTGGTTGTACATCTTCGCATCCTGGTTCAGGTTGACATTTTTCATCCCTACTGCAAACTGTATTTTCTACCGTTAAACCACAACGCGGCCATTTGAGATCACATAACAAATCGACGGCACTAGACAACGCGATGGTACTAATAAATATCACGGTGTAAAAAAGATATTGCATCTTGATTGTGGTTGTTTTATTTTAACAGGTGGAAAACCACTTATAATTACTTCATCAATTTAAAAAAAGACAGCAAAACCTTGTGGTCAGCTTTTTTTAAAACTGACTAAACATTTTACGTAAGTGATATACTTTTAGCCCATATCAGTTCCGATTTCCGAATTCAGATAAAATATCTGGCGGTTTTCCTTTCATTCCTGATTGAAAAAACGATTATTTTTGTTGACCGAAACAAATATCAAGGTCACTATTATCGGTAAAACACTTTTGGTAAAATTTTATTTGATATATCAATTTCGGCGAACATTCGGTAATGACGATAAAATATTGGGAGATTAATAAGTAAACGGTTAATTTGCTAGAATATTGTTTTCCTTAATCACTATTTAACTGGGTATAAACCACAATTAAAGGTTAAAATACGTTTATTGACGTTTCAATTTCCACTTTGGAAATCGTTCCCAAAATACAAACAGTAAATTAAACAAATTTTGTTTTTTTGTTACTTTTTATTGACAGTTCAGACATACATTATGCATTTTAAAGTAGATGACTTTAAAATGATATTGCCAAATTGTTGAGTTGCGCTCCTGGGACGACTTTACTTATAAGATAGTTCATTCGATTAAATGAAATCAACTTTAAGTTGAGAATATCCGTCAGAAAAAATCATAGCATGTAATTCGTCTTTAAAAAGACAAACACATGACATGATGACAGTAAAATTCTCCTGTTAGTGATTCCATAGTAAATTATGAGGGAAAAACCAGGAAAAAACCTCATAATACTATCCCGACATGGTAAGTATTTGTTCGTGCATTTAGTTTACCTTCAATAAACACCAAAATTCTGATTTTATATGTTTCGTTATTTAAACAACATAAATGATGTATCCTCTATATGTTACTGACTTACTAATACTGGTATTTTCTTATTAATAACTTCCTCTTTCAATATTGGTAACCAGATCCTACTACATTCTGCCGAGGAATTTGCGACACAATTGGCCTCATTTAGCATAATTAGCGCCGCTTCTTTGATTTTTTTTTGTACCATCCGTTTCTTTTAGGACTACATTTGAATTATTCCATTGAACCCTATGTTCATTATCCCATGCGTGTTTACATATTTGAGATCTATCAAATTCTCTATTTTTAATATAAGATTGATATTCACTTATTTTAACATTTAATAGCCTTAATGTTTCACCTAAATAAAACTGATCGCATTCACAAGGTATTTTATAAATGTGCTTTCTTATTCCTTGTTAGGTTTGGTTTTGGACAAAATAGATCTCAACGTGTTTGTTGTTTTGAATGTTGTTGAAATGTTGAATTTATTTCCTATCCTTTAATAAGTTTTTCCTATAAGTTTTTCTGATAATCCTTTTAAGTACGGTATTGTTATTTTCCTCGTATTATTCCTTGTGTATGCTGTAGGATCTCGTTCTAAGTTGTTCTGTTCTATTCTATCGAATGTTGAAAATTCCTTATTTATAAACGATAAAGGATAATCATTTTTTAATAGAACAGATGTTAACAAATGTTTCTTCTCCAAGAACGAATTTTCGTTAGAACAAGTAATTTTGGCTCTATCGTATAAGGATTTAATTATTCCCTTTTTTTACATTAATATTGTGATTTGATTTGAAATTTAAATATCTATTGGTGTGTGTTGATTTTCTATACACCTGGGTCTCATATCCAGTATCGTTCTTAGAGATTAAAATATCCAGGAAAGGTAGCGTGTTATTATATTCCTTTTCCATTCTTCTTCTTAAGGTGCCGTGCATTTCTGCGTAGGCGTCCACCGTACATCGTCTTGTCAGGTGAGATGTTAAATATTCTGGATTAAATAATTCTGTTTTTAGCAGCATTGCGAAGCATTTCATAGCTGTGGATTCCTGTCCATTGTCGAATATTGCGCAGCCATGACATTTTTTTACGTCCGAGACCTCTCCTACCCTCTATCTTCCCTTCGAGTATCAGTTGCTGAAAAGTATATCGTTCTCCTCGTATAATATGCCCCAAGTATGCAGTCTTCTTACTTTTTACATAATTAAAAAGTTCCCTATCCTATAAGTCCGCTCTTCTGAGTACTTCCTCATTTCTGACCCTGTCCGTCCATGATATTCTGAGCATTCGACGCAGGCACCACATTTCGAACACTTCAAGTTTGTTAATGGAACTGGCCTTTAACGTCCATGCTTCCATTCCGTACAGGAGAACAGGCCACACGTAACACTTAAGCATCTTGTATCGGAGGTTGAAGTCCAATTTGCGATCAGTCAGAAACTTACGAAACCTCAAAAAAGCATTTCTGGCTTGTTCAACTCTGCTCTTTATTTCATTCTCGGGGTCCCAACCCTCATTCAGCAAACATCCCAAGTATTTGAATTGCCTGACTTGTTCGATTTCTTCTCCAGAGACATATATCTTTGCGTTGGGGTAATCATTTCTACTTATAATCATTGATTTTGTCTTCTTGATATTTATTTTCAAATCCCGAGCTTCACTTGCAAGAGTTAGATCATTTAAAAGGCATTGAAGATCTTCGATGTTATCTGCCACTATGGCCGTATCATCGGCATACCTGATGTTATTAATAAATATGCCGTTAACTTTAATACCCTTATTAGAGTCTTCCACTGCTTCTGCGAAATCTTACCTTTTCCATGGTAAATGTTATTGTCTCTTCTTTATCGTTTATATCGTTTAGGAATGTGTCCAACAAATCTGATCCATGAGGCCATATTGAGAATACATCATCTACATACCTCTACCATACTGTGGGTTTTAAATTTTGTTTAGAAATGATATTTGTTTTAAAATCTTCCATAAATATATCGGCAAAGAATGGAGATAAACTAGAGCCCATTGCTAGACCAAAATTTTGTTTATAGAATTCATTATGTAGTTGAAAATATGTATTATCAGACATAATGTTAATAACTCCATTATAGCCGATATATTTAGTCTTGTTCTAGTTGCCAATCAAATTAACCAACCAAATTACCTTCATTTAAACTCATAATTTCACTCAACTAAGCACAAACCTTGTTGATCAACTGCTTAATATTCCCAATACTGACCTACGGACGTGAATCTTGGACTCTGAGACAATCGGAGAGAAGAAAGATAGACGCTACTGAAATGTTCTGTTGGAGACGAATGTTACGAATTCCTTGGACCGACCGTAGAACAAATAATTCAATTTTAAGAGAGCTAAAAGTTAGCCTACGACTCTCTAGTAAAGTCCATCTCCAACAATTAAAATATTTTGGGCATGTTATGAGAGCAAACACAGAAAACATTGAAAGACTCATAATACAAGGAAAGGTAAAAAGCCGAAGATCACGAGGAAGATCCCCAACAAGATGGATAGATCAAATTACAGGAATATGCCAGAGACAGAGATCTCTGGAGACGGACAATACACGACATCACGTCGACCACTACATTCCCCCTGGGGGGTCAGAATTGAAGAGAGAGAAGTCACGTGATTGGAATACTTGGACTCCTCTATGGCTGAATAAAAAATTAGGGGGTTTTGCTATAACCCTTACACATCAGATGTGCGGTTTTGCTTTAAACACATACTTTTAAATTAATATTACAACTGGAAATGTGTGGTTTTGATCGGCAGTAAACATGACAGGCAATGCATTTTAAAATGACGAATTAAGTCTGTCTTTAAGCGAACTGGTCACATAAACCGTAGATGAATTTAACTCTAATGAAAGTTGTGTGAAAGAAAGTATAACAAAAAAAAATTCACAATATTTAAAAATATGAGTGAAAGATGCTCTTTAACATGGTGAAATAAATTAAGATTTAAACCCACTTAAAATGGTTGCATAATTACTGGTAGGTACTTATAATTTGTTTAAAATCTATTACATAGTTTTTTTATTGTATAAGAAATAACAACGTCAAATAAATAGTAAAGATAAACATTAGTGAAACCACGTTGATGGTGCTGGAATTGGTACAATTTTTTTTGGTTCTACGTACTTTCGGTACTTTAGTAGTAGTTGGATTTAGTTTTACTTGCGTTGGATTTTTATTAGTATGTTGACCTGCAACTACTGTAGTTACTGCATTACTAATAGTTTTCGTAACTGCATTTGTAGCGGCATCTTTAGAGGCAAAATGGGTTTCAGTATCACCTAAAACAGTTACACTAGTTTTGTCATTTGCACCGACCGTAAAACTAGCAGAATCTGTGACTCCAGCACTAACAATGTCTTGAACGCTAGATATCTTGGAATATATTTGGCTTTCATCGACTTCTCCACATAGTGCAGGAAATTCCACATTGCATGGTACACCGTCTGGACATTTGGAACACCCTTCTCCCCTTTCGTATACAGTTTGTTCATGCATATTTCCCTTTGGTCCATAATTACAAGCAATGTAATATCTTACTAAATCGTTTTCTGATGTTGGGATAGATTTAGACAGAGCACATCCTATGTGGGTTGTTTTGGCCCACATAGCTTGAGTGAAGTGAGCAATGCCGAATCCTGCTGAAAATAAGAATTTATTTTTTTATAATTATGTATAATAATGTTTAAAATGCTTAAATTAAAAACACTTGAACTAAATAAATTTTATAAAATTTATGATTGAAGTTCTCAGAAAGAGTTACTTCTATCTAATTTGTATTTTGTATGAAAATTTAGTAATATATTCGGTTTTAGACTGTATACCGTTGTGAGACACGTGAGCTTTACCATACTGATAACTTATCATTGAGATAAAAATCTTTCTCAGAACGAGAGGAGTCGAAGGATTGGACATTGAAGTTTTGAGTTTTAAAAGGCTGAAAACCTTGGGGCTGATATTGGTGGATATTGCATCGATCTATCTTCTTTCCATGAATCTTTCTTAATAGGTATATCAAGTTGTCTGTACTTTGGTGATCGTTTTTGCAGTATTCAAATTTGTTCCGTTAACTTATTATTATTTTTCTTGGTATATTAATTTTTTTCGTTTCTACTTAATGGCCCTTCTTAAATGGTAAAAATTAAACAGCCAATTGCTATTAAAAAAAAATTTTTTCCCATTATTTCTTCATATCATTTCCAACTCCAAATATGATAGATCAAATTAAGAATTCTCATATACATTTTAATAAAAAAAATTGATTGCTTACCTCTTGAAAAATTATCAATTACACCCGGAGTCATTTTATTAATTTCTTCGTACCATCCATTTACCGTATTTTTCAAATCTTCCTGGCCATAGCTGGTATAAGCCAGATTTTGACCGACATCAGGAAACTTCTTAGTACCTCTGCATTGATCATGCTCAAACTTGCATCTAAAATTAAAAATAAAAAAAGTTATACTGTAGACTAGCGCGAAGCTTAATACTATATTTTCTCTCCTTGTAACATACATAGACTCATTTACGGCTGTGATGGCTATTTCGTAAAAAGCCATACTTACTATGTGCTGCTTTAGAAATCTATAACATTTAAAATATTGTACTAATTACTCTTTTTGTCGCACTTCAATACAATATTCAAACTGATATTTGTAAAAATCCAACATTGTATCTAATTATTTTACTACTTTTTTTTTTATTGACAGATATTCGTTTATGAAGTACATGTTTTTAGTTCAACCTGCTTAGAGTAAATATATGATGACCTATTCGGTTGAAAAGAGTTATTTAGTGACGATGTTCGTGACGCTTTCTCGTGGCGCTTCTTCAGTGACACTCGCTTCAGAACTTTACTATAGAAAAAAATAGTACAACGTCAGTATAAAAGCTTCACTTCAATAAAAATGATTTCGAATACCGACATAAACGAATTATTTTATTTATTTACAAAGCTCAACAGGCCTTGAAGGCCTAGGGCTAAAATGCGATTAATACAATAATTAATATAATACTTATATATGTATTACAAAACACATCGGAGTTACAAAAAGCAGGAAGGTCCAAATCAGGTCAGCCTGGTCGACGATAAACAAATAAAGATATTCCTGGATAACTTGGTAAACAAATCCTGTATCTAATCGTACCACCAATGTATAAATCAATTGACGATACTGCTCTAACGTAACTACATCTTGCCTTGGATGATGGAGAATAACTAAAAATTAAACTTGTGATGTATCTCGTTTATTGGTTACTTATGTAACACGGAATAGGTTATCGATGACATTACTTATCTATTAATATATGAAAATATGATGAAAATATTTTCATTAAATAGGTCACTCTTTAGAACCCTTTTAATTTTTACGATTCAGTAACCATTTGTTCTCGAGATTCTTCTAATTGGCTATTTATCTGCCACACACTGTATTGGCGACGTGCAAGTACTTGGATGTGATACGAGAAACGATCGTGCGCAACTAGTGGAGAAATCTTGCATTTTTTACTGCACATTTCATAGATTTCATAAATTCATATTGTCAATTGTCATATTTCATATTCGTTTGTTTATTTACACCTTCTGTCACTGAAGAAAATGTGATTTAGGAAATGCTGTGTTATAAATTGTAAGAATACAACAAAAAATTGTCAATTTAAGTTTTATTCGTTTCCAACTTCGAAGCACAAATTACTACAAAGAGAAAAGTGGATTTATATCATAAAAAAGCATAAGTAACATAACCTAAATTATGCATTATTCTTGCGCTCGATTTTAAGGTCAGTTTGAAAAAATAATAGATAAAAGTTCACTTTTAAGTGTAAATTTTAGTTTCATAATACTCACTTGAGTTCATTTTAATCCAAAAATCAAGTTTAATGTTTAAATTTTATTTTTTTTAAGTTTTCAAAAATGCATCAAGTTAAAGTTTTTTCTGAAGATGCATTAAGATATATTCGCTGTCCAATAGTTTACAGGGAAAGAATTAATTGTTCAAACCAATATGATGATATCATTGGCTTAACCTGCTAATTTATGCATAATTTATGTATTAGCATTATTTAAGGTAATTTATTTTTCTTAATTCTTCCACATAATTCTTCCATTCTTTTTTGACATTTGCCACTACTAAAGTTTTTCCTTTGACTCAGTGCTTGGTTGAAAAGTTATTTGGTGATTTACTTTCTCAAATCCAGTTTTTATTATTGCATCCATATTAACAGTAAGGCTGTAATTTAATAATATATTTATTTGTATTTACACTACATACAACGTTTACCATTTAATAACATACCGACTGTCCGACATAACCCCAATCTTACTTTTTCTTCTTATGTTTTTTTTGGGGGTACAAATTACAGTTATGACAGTTATCCGGTAACCTCAATCTAACATGAAAGCGCAGTCAATTTTGCTGATTTACGACACCAGGTGTCGCTGTTCCGAACTTGCACGATCCCAATACATACAATATAGAATACGAATAATAAATAGTAACTTTTTACCTGTTTATATGACATCTAGCTGTATATTCCAGATCCTTGTCGTAAGACAAGGCCATCATATTAGCAGCGACTCCGGTGAAGCCTCTGGTTTCTGTTCCGCTTGCAATATTATTCCTCAAGCGATTGTGTTCGTGCAGGATGAACTTCAAGAATTCTGGATCTGGTTGTAGATCTTCGCATCCTGGCTCAGGGAAACATTGTTCATGCCTAGCGCAAACTGTATTTTTTACTGTGAAATAACAACGCGGCCATTTGACATCACATAAATCGGCACTAGACAATGTGATGATACTTATAAATATGACAGTGTAAAGAAGATATTTCATCTTGATTGTAGTTGATTTATTTTAATAGGTTTGAAAGCACTTACAATTACTTCATCGATCTAAAAAATATAACAAAACCTTGTGGTCATCTTTTATTAAAACTGAGTAAAAATTGTACGTAAGTGATATGCTTTTACCACCATATCAGCATTCCGAATGCCATAATCAAAACAATAATTATTTTTTAATAAAACAGGTGTTAACAATTGTTACTCCTCTAAGGACGAATTTTCGATAGAACAAGTAATTTTGGTTCTATCGTATAAGGCAGGGATGGCCAACCCGCGGCACGCGTGCCACTCTGTGGCACGATTGAGCTACTGATAGGACTTTCAAACTGATCAAACTTTCAAAAAAATTAAAACTTGAAAAACAAAAAATAATAAGAAGAAACTTGGTAGGTTTACGGAAGTTACGATAGATGCGGCATCATTGCATCCTCTGGCGAGCGATATTGGTGCACATGATCCTAGCTGTCGTAATGTGCAATAGGACTGTGTTACCCTTACTTAGTTTTTTTAAATTTTAAACTGCCCCGTTGTATGTGCATATTTTGTCATCGCGCATTGTTTCTTTAAAATTTTAAAAGTATTTGTTCGATATGTCCACGAGTAAGCCTTCGACTTCAAAACGAAAATACGGAGATGATATTGCAATTCGCGATTTTCAACCTGCTTGGGAAGAACAATTTTTATTTACTAATCGTAATACTTCAAAGCCTGTTTGTGTGATATGTGGATTGTCTGTATCAGTTCCGAAAAAATTTAACCTGGAACGACATTATAAACAACTGCATACGGATTTCAGCAACAAATATCCTATTGGTTCACATTTACGAGCCGACTTTATTGAAAAAAAAAAAGAAAACCCTAGCCAGCCAACAGTCACTGTTTCAGAAGAGAAGTGATGAAATGGAAACTATGGTTAAAACATCATATGAACTTTCTCTGCTGTTAGCCCGGAAGAAAAAAAGCCTACTCTGATGGAGAGGAGATAATTAAAAATAGTCTGGCAATATTTGCTAAAAATGTGGGAGATGTAAAGATCAAAAATATGGTCGATAATATTGCATTATCCCGAAATACAGTCATGCGCCGTATAGACGATATGGGCCAGGATGTTGTTTTTTTAAGCATTTTTGTCCGTTATACCAATGATAATTTTGAAAATGCCGAAGAGCTTCTAGATTTGCGCCAACTACTCACAACAACAGGAGAGGACATTTTTCAACAGCTTAAAGCGTAATCGAAGTCAACAAAGTTGAATGGTCAAAATTAGATAGTGTTTGTACAGATGGAGCTCCTTGAATGGTTGGTAGACTAAAGGGGTTTGTTACATTACTGGAAAACTATTTGGGAAGAAAAGTTTTTAAGTACCATTGTATTATTCACCAGGAAGCTCTTTGTGCCAAGAAACTAAACATGTCATCTGTTGTTGACCCTGTAACACGCTGCATTAACAAAATATGAGCTCGGGCATTGAATCGCCGACAATTTCGAGAACTGTTCGCGGAAGAAACGGAGCAAGATAGAGAGTTACTTCTCCATTGCAGTGTGCGCTGGCTCTCCAAAGGAAATGCACTCGAAAGGTTTTGGAACTTGAAGGAGTGCGTCTTAAAATATTTGCAAGAAAACAATGAACTACCCAGTGAGTGCTCGTTACTTAATGATAAACATTGGCTTTGGAGTTTAGCTTTTCTCACTGATATTATGAGACATTTAAATCTATTAAATTTAAGATTACAGGGAAAAAATTGTATTTTTCCTACTCTAGTTGGTCATATATCTTCTTTTGTGAATAAACTTATGCTTTTTTGTAACGATTTTGGAGAACAGAGATTGACACATTTCACATTAATGCAGGAATTAGCCAACAAGGTCAGTAGAACTCCAAATTATGACAGATTTAAAAACCTTATATCTATTTTGCTAGGTTCATTCAATACCCGGTTTAAAGATTTTCAAAAAGACAAAATGAATGTTGACCTTTTCATAAATCCTTTTTCTATTTCTCTGCAAGATATCAATTGTTACTCAGCTGAAATACAGATCGAAATTATTGATTTACAGAACCACACTATACTAAAAACCAAATATAAGGAAATTATTTTAACTGTTACTGATCCCAATTATATTGAATTTTGGAAATTTGTGCCAGCAAACAATTTTCCTAATTTACACGAGTTAGCTCTGAGATATTGTTGTAGATTTGGTTCAACGTACGTTTGTGAGCAAATGTTCTCTATTGTGAACATAATAAAATCAAAATATCGGTCACGATTAACTGACATGCATTTAAAAAATCTAATTCTGTTGGTTAGTTCCGAAATTAATCCCAATATAGATGAAATAATTTAAAAAATACAAGTTCAAATACCACAAAATAAGTAACTGTTTAATAATTTGAATTTTAGATAATAAGAAAATATTTAAGTTTTTTTGTTTAACGTTTTTATTTTATTTTTATTAACA